ATCAATGAAACAGAAAATAGAAAGATAATAGAAAAAAATCAACAAAACTAGAAGTTGGTTTTTTGAAAAGATTAATAAATTGACAAACCACTGGCAAGTTTAACAAAAGAAAAGAGGGAAAGAATACAAATAACATGAATAAGAAAGGAACTGGGCGATGTCACAACAGAACCAACATAAATTAAAAGGATAATATCAGGACACTATGAAGAACTATAGGAGCTCTGGTAGCATAGTGCCTAAGGCACTTGACTGCTAACCAGAAGGTTGGCGGTTCAAACCCACCAGCCACTCCTCGGAAGGAAGGTTAGGCAATCCTACTTCCGTAGTGATACTGCCTCGGAAACCCAAGGAGGGGTCGCTATGAGTCAGGTTTGACTCGACGGCACATAACAACAACAACAACAACAGACTCCAAGAACATACCCAAAAAATAATACACTATAACCAAGTGGTTCATACCAGGTATGAAAGGATGGTTCAGTATTAGAAAAACAATCAACATCATCCATCACATAAATGAAAGAATGGAAAAAAACCACATGATCATATCAATTGATGTAGTAAAGGCATTTGATAAAACCCAACACCCATTCCTGATAAACACTCTCAGAAAAATAGGAGAAGGGACATTCCTCAACATAATAAACGGCATATGCAAAACCAACAGCCAACGTTATTTTCAATGGAGAGAGACTGAAACCACTCCCCTCGTGGATGGGAACCAGACAAGGATTCCCTGTATCATCACTTCTATTCAACATTGTACTGGAAGTCCTAGCCAGGGCCATAAGGCAAGAAAGGGAAATCAAAGGCATTCAAATTAGTAAGGAAGAAGTCAAACTATCCCTGTTTGCTGGTGATATGATCCTATACATAGAAAACCCAAGAGATTCAACAAAAAACTACTGGAACTAATTGAGAGATTTAGCATAGAGCAGGATATAAGATCAACATACAAAAATCAGTTGGATTCCTCTACACCAGCAAAGAGGTTGCTGAAAAGGAAACACAGAAATCAATACCATTTACAATAACTACCAAAAAAATTTAAATACTTGGGAATAAATCTTGCCAAGGACACAAAAGACCTGTACAAAGAAAGCTACAAAACAATACTTCAAGAAACCGTAAGAGATCTACGTAAATGGAAGAACATACCATGCTCGTGAATAGGAAGATTGAACATTGTGAAAATGTCAATACTACTCAAAGCAATCTATACATTCAATGCAATCCCAATCCAGATCCCATCAACATTCTTCAAGGATATGGAAAAACCAATCACTAATTTTATATGGAAAGGAAAGAGACCTCGGATAAGCAAACCACTATTGAAGAAGAACAAAGGAGGTCTCACACTACCTGATCTCAAAACCCACTACACAGCCACAGTAGTCAAAATAGTCTGGTATTGGTACAACAACAGACACATAGACCAGTGGAACAGAACTGAGAACCCAGAAATAGATCCACTGACCTATGGTCAGCTGATTTTTGACAAAGGGCTGAAATCCATTACATGGGGAAGAGACGGTCTCTTTAACAAATGGTGTTGGTAAAACTGGATATCTATTTGCAGAAAAATGAAACAAGATCTGTACCTCACACCATATACAAAAATTAACTCCAGCTGCATCAAAGACTTAAATGTGAAACCTAAAACTATAAAGTTTCTCAAGGAAAAACTAGGGGCATATTTAGGGGCCCTAATATATGGCATAAATAGACTATCAAGCATAACTCAAAATGCACAAACAGAAGATAAACTAGAATGGGACCTTCTAAAAATTAAATATTTATGTTCTTCCAATGGCTTCTCCAAAAGAGTCAAAGAGAACCTACAGATTGGGAAAAAATATCTGGCAATGACATATCTGACAAGGGACTTATCTCTAAAATTTATAGAAAACTCCAACACCTCAATAACAAAAAGACAAACAATCCAATTCAAAAATGGGCAGAAGACAATAGACACTTCACTGAAGAGGATATGTGGGTGGCCAACAAACAAGTGAAGAAATGTTCACGATCATTAGCCATTAGAGAGATGCCAATAAAAACAACAAGATACCATCTTGCCCCAGACTAATAGCAAAGTTCAACAAGATAGAAAATTTATAATTTTATTTATAATGTTTATAATAATGCTGGCGAGGTTGTGGAGAGATTGGGACTCTGATACACTGCTGGTGGGATTGTAAAATGATACAACCACTGTGGAAAGCAGTATGGCGATTCCTTAAAAAATTGGAATTAGAAATACCATTTGATCCAGCAAACCCATTACTAGCTATATGTCCTAACGAAGTGAGAGCCAGGACAAGAACACATATATGCACACCCATGTTCATCACTAACCAGAAGGCTGATGGTTCAAACCCACCAGCCACTCCTCGGAAGGAACCTTGGGCAATCCACTTCCGTAGTGATACTGCCTCGGAAACCCAAGGAGGGGTCGCTATGAGTGAGGTCTGACTCGACAGCATGTAACAACCTAACAACCTGTTCATCACAGCACTATTTACAATAGCAGAAAGATGGAAACAACCTAGGTGCCCATCAACAGAAGAATGGATAACCAAACTATGGTACATACACACCGTCGTATATTATGCAACCCTAAAGAATAATGTACAATCTGCAAAACAACGCATAACGTGGATGAACTTGGAGGACATTATGGTGAATGAAATAAGTCAATCACAGTTCATTATTGTAAAAAGTCAAGGAAAGGTTTATATATGGAAGGAAACTTTCTTTGTTGCTTACCAGGGGCAAGGAGGGTAGGAGGGGAGGGAAGGAAACACTGCAAAAATAAAAATAGAATTACTAAAATAATAATTTAAAAAAAGACCCTAGGCTCTGTGCAATGAATTGGCTGGTAGAATACAAGCACTAAACACATTACATAATAAAACTATATTAAATAAGGTTTTATAATAAAAGCAATACATGAAAACCAAAGAAACAAAACAAAAACCCACTGCCATCGAGTCAATTCTGAGTCATAGTGACCCTATAGGACAAAGTGGAACTGCCCTATAAGGTTTCCAAGGCTGTAAATCTTCACAGAAGCAGACTGCCTCATCGTTCTCCTGCAGTGTGGCTGGTGGGTTTGAACTGCTGACGTTTTGGTTAGCAGCCAAATGCTTTAACCACTAGGCCACAAGAGCTCCTTCATATGTGAAAAGGTATACAAAATTTCAAACTACACAAAAAGTATAAAATTAAAGTAAGTCGCCTTCTTTCCCTTCATCCAGTTACATTCCCCAGAGGGATAGTCTATCATTTCCATTAAGGAAAAAAAAAACCAACTCTATCCACCTAGTTATTGAAATGTAAATAATACAGTGAATGAAAATACAGATTCAATTAAAAGCATTACTGAAATTCATGCTCACATTTTGTCATTAGGTGTTTTATTCAATCAGTGGGTGCTAATATAATTTATTGCTATGTTGTTATTGTTGTTGTTATGTGCCGTGGAGTCGGACCGACTCATAGAGACCCCTCCTTGGGTTTCCGAGGCAGTATCACTACGGAAGTAGATTGCCCCATCTTCCTTCCGAGGAGTGGCTACGTAGGAATTAGTAATTAGTATCTCTCTATGTATATTTATTCTCTTCCTTTTGCACACCCATGGGGTTATACCCTACATAATATTCTGTGCCTTGACTGCGTTTTCTCATTTAGTATTATCTCTTGTTTTTTTTTTAATCAGCATATATAACTCTTCCCCCCTTTTTCATTCTTTGTTACTACATGACAATGCACTGCTGTTGATGGATATTTAGGCTCTTTCCAGTTTGTGCTATTATAAATACTGTGTAATGCATATCCTACATATGGATGAATTTTTGTACATTTGTAGAATAATTCCTAGAAGTATAATTGCTGGATAAAAGAATGTGTGCACTTTAAATTTTGATATTATCAAATTACCCTCCAGAGAAATAGCACATATAATAGTAGTATATTATATATACTACTTTATACTTCCTCCAACGTGCATGGGGGCGTCCATTACCCCAAACTGGTCCCAACATCATAATGATCCTAAAAGTCTCTGACAATAAGTAGATAAAAATGGTAGGTTGCTTTAATTTGTTCTTTGTGAGTGCGGTCCCAACATCATAATGATCTTAAAAGTCTCTGACAATAAGTAAATAAAAATGGTAGGTTGCTTTAATTTGTTCTTTGTGAGTGAGGTTGAACATTTTTATCATATAATTGGCTATTTTAAATTCATATTTCTGTTCCTTCTTTTCACCCATTTTTCTCTGTGTTTTTCTTATTGATATATATATCAGGATATCAATCCTATTGATTTGTAATGTTTTTTAGTATAAAAGGAACTCTGGTGCCGTAGTGCCTGAAGCATTTGACTACTAATCAGAAGACTGGCGGTTCAAAACCACCAGCCACGGCGCCACTCGACAATCTACTTCAGTAGAGACTCCCCGCCTCGGAAACCCAACGGGGGTAGTTATGAGTCGCAATCGACTCGGCAGCGAGTGTAGTTGTTTTTTTTTTTTAATATGAAGGAATAGTTTGTGTATCATTTCCTGGCAAATACAAGTTTGTTTATAAACTGTTCATAGCACTTTTTTTCTCTTGCAGAAATTTTACTTTTTTATATATTCAAATTTATCAATCTTTCCCTTTATAACTTGTTTTCCACTCTATAGCTTTCCCTTCCCATTCTTAAGGTTTTCCAACCCTACAGTTTCTTTTCTAGTGTTTTTTTTTTTTTTTTCTTTTTAAATTGTGGCGAAAATACACACTAAAACATTCGCCGACACAATGTCTTCCACATTTACAATTCAAATACACTGATTACATTTTTTCATGTTGCACCACCATTACTGATACCCTTTTCCAAAATATTCCATTACCATCAACAAACTCCGTGTGTTTTTTACTTTTTAAGTCAGGATGTCTGCTCATCTGAAACTAATAGCGGCTGCTGAAAATCCTCTCGTCACTCCCTCACTTACCGGCCTCAGCACTCTGCACACCTCTCGGAGGAGCTGCTCTTGGCTCTCCACCGAGCACAAGACCAGGGTGCAGACCACCACATCCACAGAGCCGCTGGCGACTGGGTGCATATTCTCACCGGCAGCCACCACGAAACGCTCGAACTGCAGGTGTCGGTTCTCTGCGACGCTCTTGATCAAGAACTTCTCAAAGTTGGGGTTGGGGTCAACACAGGTCACCCTGCATCCAGGCGGGTAGAACTTGAAGTTGGCCCCCGTGCCACAGCCCACCTCCAGCAGGGAGAGCTTCCTGGAGGGGCCTGCAAACTCCTGCAGGTTGCTGAAAAGCTCCCGCTTCTTGCTCGCCATCTGTTCATTGTACGTCACAGTGAACCTCGCCATGAAGTAGGGGAAGAATTTTTTGCATATCCAGCTCCATATACCCAGAAAGTTCAGTAGGTACACAGGAAATGCCAGGATGCAGACGGCCAGCCGCAGAAAGAGAACCGCAAGCGCCATCACTTCAGGAGAGAAAAACCGACAACACTGAGAGATCCGACCCTTTTAATTGCAGGACGTAGGTTTCTGGCCACACTCCAGAGCCAATCAGCTTCAGAGCAGAAAAGAACTGGCTGTCCTGGATAAACGCAGCTCTAGTCAAACTATGGGCAAGAGGCCCATTTTTCCCCAATTAATAGACGTTTGGCAAAAGTTGATTCAGCTTAGTTTCTAAGAAGCAAAATGAAAAAGTTTGCAACTTCTCCTTAGAAGGAAAGTTGATTACACTTCTGTCTTCCAAATCTATTTGTACTTCACCTTCTCTGGGTTTGGAGACTACTGTTATTTTCCTGCTACCGTTTTACAGCACAGGGCCTTGCACTCTCACTCCGGTGGTCTAATGACCTCTAAACCGGAAACAGAATCTGTGGGTGGAGTCTGGTTTATCACAACACGGTCCCTTCCTAGCACCCTGGGTTCCCACTTCCCTCACTCCTCACACCTAAAAAAAATAAAATAAACCTCACTGCCATCAAGCCTTCCTTCCAAGGAGTGGCTGGTGGGTTTGAACCGCCAGCCTTCTGGCTGGCAGTCAAATGCCTTACGCACTACACCCCAGAGCTCCTGTTGTTGCTGTTGCTATGTGCCATCGAGTCGGACCCGACTCACAGCGAACCCTCCTTGGGTTTCCTAGGCAGTATCACTCCGGAAGTAGATTGCCCAACCTTCCTTGGGAACCGGAGCTCCTAGTTTCTAAAAAAGAAGTGAAAGGCCATGCCCGTCTCCTCATTCATAGTCCACACGAATTCTCCCTTAGAATTTTGGTCTCAATCTTCAGCCTGTGCCAAACTATGCTATTCAGCTTAAATAAAAATAATTTCCAGAATATTCACATTTGGCACCCTAAAGTATTCAGAATATAGTTTCAAATATCCACCTATTTTTAACAAGAAAGCCTGGGTTTTAGGGTGACCAGGGAAACACAGACATTTTTTTAAAAATAATACTAGTATTTACTTTTTAGGAGCTCTGGTAGCATAGTGGCTAAGACACTTGACTGCTAACCAGAAGGCTGGCGGTTCAAACCCACCAGCTACTCCTTGGAAGGAAGATGGGGCAATCTACTTCCCTAGTGATACTGCCTCGGAAACCCAAGGAGGGGTCGCTATGAGTCGGGTCCAACTGGATGGCACATAACAACAACAACAATTTACTTTTTAAAACTGAGAGATGGATACAAGGAATGTACTGTGGTGCAGTGTGTAAGGCATTTGACGGCTAACCAGAAGGCTGGTGGTTCAAACCCACCAACCACTCCTCGGAAGGAAGATTGGGCAATCTATTTCTGTAGAGATACTGCCTCAGAAACCCAAGGAGGGGTCTCTGTGAGTCAAAATCAACATGACTGCAGGGAAGGGTTTTTTTTTTTTGGCACATTTTTGTGAATATCTTGTCTACTCCACTAAAAAAAAACAAAAAAATTTATTGTGGTTTGGGTGAAAGTTTACATTTTCCATACAGCAGTTCATACACATTTTGTTTCATGTCATTGACTGCAGTTGCCCACAATGTGACAACTCTCTTCCCAATTCCTCCCTGTAGTTCCCCTTCCCTGTGTCCTTCCCTCCTATGCACTCCTACCCCACTAGCCAAGCTGTCTCCCTTTGCAAACACTGCCCTTCTGTTCTCCCATGATTGATTGCTCCAAGTAGTGTATCTACCTGATGTTAATGTTCACCCCATGTGCCTCTATTGTTTGGCTGGAAGCCACAGGAATGAGTTCAATTCCAGACCTAAAGGGTACCTAAAGGGCCATAGTCTGAGGGGTCTCCCCAGCTCTCTCAGCCCAGCAAACCTGGTCTCTTTTTAAATTTATTTATGATTTTGAGTTTTGTTCCCCATTGTTCTCCCACTCCATCCAGGATCTCCTGTACCAATCCCCGTCCAAGTGGTTGACAGTGGTAGCTAGGCACCATCTAGTTCTTCTGGTCTCACGGTCATATAGGTTGAGGATCACATGGTTATCTACCTCATTTTTAACACACCTTTTTGAGGCAGAATTAGCATATAATAAGCTGTACATATTTAAAGTGTACAGTTTGATAATTTTGACATGCATGCACCCATTAAACTCAGCACCTCAATCAAGATAATGACAGACCCATCACCTCCAAAAGTTTCTTTTTGCCCCTTTGTAATTTATTAGCCTGCTCCCACCCACCCCAAAGCAATCACTGATCTGTTGTCAGTTATTAGAGATTGTTGTTGTTATGTGCCATCGAGTCGAACCTGACTCATAGGGACCCCTCCTTGGGTTTCCGAGGCAGTATCATTACGGAAGTAGATTGCCCAACCTTCTTTCTGAGGAGTGACTGGTGGGTTTGAACCCCTGGCCTTCTGGTTAGCAGTCAAGTGCCTTAGGCACTACGCTACCAGGGTTCCCATCATTAGAGATTAGTTTGCATTTTCTAGAATTGTATGCAAGTGGGAACACTGTATGTACTTTTTTGGGGAGTCTGGCTTCTTTCTGTCAAAATAATTGTTTTGAAAATCATTCTCATAGTAACATTTATCAATAGTTCAATTGATTTTATTGCTATGTAGTATTCCATTGTATGGAAATATGTTGTTGTTGTTGTTATATGCCATGGAGTTGGCCCCGACTCATAGCGACCCCTCCTTGGGTTTCCAAGGCAGCATCACTATGGAAGTAGATTGCCCCATCTTCCTTCTGAGGAGTGGATGGAGGGTTTGAACCGCCAGCCTTCTGGTCAGCAGTCAAGTGCTTTAGGCACTACGCTACCAGAGCTCCCATACGGAAATATAACAATGTGTTTAATCATTAACCTGTTGATAGACATTTGGATTTGTTATACAAATAAGTCAAAAATGGCCTCTGTGTATGGGCCAGTTGTTTATGTCTTCATAGCAAGCTGAAGCTCCTTAGCCCAAAAAAGTCAGCTGTGACAAATTCAAATTCCTATTGTTCTAGAAATGGCCCAAGTAAACAGATTTTTAGCCACTTCTAGCCTATCTGCCTTATGTGTGCAGTACAGTGAATTACTTGATATGGTCCTTCTAGTCACGGTCTTTGTGGGTCACTCCCATTAGATGACTGGGTGAGACTATGCAAATGTAAGGTGCTGGGGATTGGATAGCTTCCTAATAATGTAATGGTACCCTTGTGGGAGTTTGTTGTTGTTAGGCACCGTTGAGTGGGGTCTGATTCATAGCGACCCTATGTACAACAGAATGAAACACTGCCCAGTCCTGTGCTAGCCTCACAATACTTGTTGAGTCCATCCTTGCAGCCACTGTGTCAATCCATCTCATTGAGGGCCTTCGCCTTTTTAGTTGACCCTCCACTTTAGTAGGCATGACATCCTTCTCCAGGGAATGGTCCCTTCTGGCAACATGACCAAAGTACATGAGACAAAGTCTGGCCATTCTTGCTTCCAAGGAGCATTCCAGCTGCACTTCCAGGATAGACTTGTTAGTTCTTTTGGTAGTCCATGCTGCTTTCAGTATTCTTCACCAACACCACGACTCAAAAGCATCAATTCTTCTTTGGTATTCCTTATTAATTGTGCAGCTCTCATGTGCATACGAGGTGATTGAAAGTACCATGGCTTGGGTTAGGTACACATTAGTCTTCAAAGAGATATCTTTGCTCTTCAGCACTTTAAAAGGGTCCTTTGCAGCAGATCTGCCCAGTGCAATATGTCATCTGATGTCTTGACCGCTGCTTCCATTGGTGTTGACTGTGGAACCAAGTAACATGAAATCTTTAACAACTTCAATTTTTTCTCCATTTATTGTCCTGGTGGTTATTGGTCCAGTTGTGAGGATTTTTGTTTTCTTTATGTTGAGATGTAATCCATACTGTAGACTGAAGTTTTTAATCTTTAGCAATAAATGCTTCAAGTCATCCTCATTTTCAGAAAGCAAAGTTGTGTCATCTGTGTTATTACAGGTTGTTAATGAATCTTCCTCTAATCCTGATGCCATGTTCTTCTTCATATAGTCCAGCTTCTCGGATTATTTGTTCAGTGACAGCTTGGATAAGTGTGGTGAAAGGATACAACCCTGACACACTCCCTTCCTGATTTTAAACCATGCAGTATCCCCTTGTTCTGTATGAACAACAACTTCCTGGTATATGTACAGGTTCTTCATTAGTACAATAAAGTGTTCTGGAATTCCCATTTTTCTCAATGTTATCCATAATTTGTTATGGCCCACATAGTCAAATGCTTTTGCATAGTCAATAAAACACAAGTAAACATCTTTCTGGTATTCTTTGCGTTCGGCCAAGATCCATCTAACGTCAGTAATGGTATCTCTCATTCCACGTCTTCTTCTGAATCCAGATTGCATTTCTGGAAGTTCTCTGTTAATATACTGCTGCAACCATGGGGTGGGACTGTGCAAATAAGGTGTATGGAACCCTAACATGGGGATTGGTCAGTGTTGCCATCCTGCTAGGCTTAAAATGAGCCATCCCAATGGTGGAAAGGGGAGATCTCACTACGATCAAGGAAGAAGAGCCAGCAGTGGCCCACGTCCTTTGGACCTGAGATCCATGCACTGAACCTCCTAGACCTGGGAAACAGAGAGCTGTGACACCAGGGACAGTGAGAACAGCGGCAGAGAAACGGCAGTAACAGAGGCAGCAGAATAAGAGACTGGCATGAGACAGAGCAGTGGGCTTCCTAGCCCATGGAGCAAGAAAGCTGGGTTCTTCTGGGCAGAAGTCTTGCTGTCAGAGTGGAGTTCCTCTCTTGGCACCTATCAGCAGAGCTAAAAGACCTTTGTAGTTCTTGCCCAAGCAGGGCAGAGGACAAGGAGCCACAGGGCCAAGAGGCTGAGGCCAGAGCACTACTTTGGGCGTGGCTGGGGAAGGGGGGATTGCTGTCGTGACTGAAGAACTGTATCCTGCGCATCCCTGATCCTGAACTGTAACCTGGGACTTCCCTAATAAACCCTATAATCTCGAGTATTGTCCATGAGTTCTGTGTGAT